AGAAGAGGGGACACATGTTGATGTAGAAGAGACATGGAGAAGAGGGGACACATGTTGATGTAGAAGAGACATGGAGAAGAGGGGACACATGTTGATGAAGAGGGGACACATGTTGATGTAGAAGAGACATGAAGAAGAGGGGACACATGTTGATGTAGAAGAGACATGAAGAAGAGGGGACACATGTTGATGTAGAAGAGACATGGAGAAGAGGGGACACATGTTGATGTAGAAGAGACATAAAGAAGAGGGTACACATGTTCATGTAGAAGAGACATGAAGAAGAGGGGACACATGTTGATGTAGAAGAGACATGAAGAAGAGGGGACACATGTTGATGTAGAAGAGACATGAAGAAGAGGGGACACATGTTGATGTAGAAGAGGGGACACATGTTGATGTAGAAGAGACATGAAGAAGAGGATTTTGCATAATAGGTGACCTTTAATATAATACAATTGTCAAACCTTTATTGTGCTGTATTGTTGTTCATATTCAATATCACACATGAACNAAGAGGGGACACGTGTTGATGTAGAAGAGACATGAAGAAGAGGGGACACATGTTGATGTAGAAGAGACATGAAGAAGAGGGGACACATGTTGATGTAGAAGAGACATGAAGAAGAGGGGACACATGTTGATGTAGAAGAGACATGAAGAAGAGGGGACACATGTTGATGTAGAAGAGACATGAAGAAGAGGGGACACATGTTGATGTAGAAGAGACATGAAGAAGAGGGGACACATGTTGATGTAGAAGAGACATGAAGAAGAGGGGACACATGTTGATGTAGAAGAGACATGAAGAAGAGGGGACACATGAACAACATACATTCTACATACCAAAAAGTCCAGGGGCAGACATGCAAAGCAACATGACATTACAGGAAGTAAATGAAGAAAAGAAAGAAGGAACAATACATTTTGATACTTCAGATTCAATATTTTTAAATACCATAATAGTTAGAATTGCTTTCTTATTCCTCATGTTTTTAATAGTGCTAATACATTGTTTAAGTTCTTGATAGTAATGTTGGTTTGCAGTCACCCAATTTCTTTTTATGGATATGAAATTTCCCTAAAAATTAAATGAACTGCGTATTGTGCTGTAATAGTATCTAAACGCATTGATTTAGTGTTTGCTTCCTGTCTTCTATTGATTTGACTGACGTCCAGCACTCTGTCTTTGAACCTGTTTTCCTTTTCTTTATGGGGACGGTTTAGTCATCATGAATCCAAAGTTTTGCGCTCTCCACAAATACAAAATGAAGATTTCCGAAGAGTAACAATTGTTTAACCCTTGGTTTGTCTTCCTATTGACTTTTCTCCTCCCAGTTTGACTATTTATAAATATAAAGTATCACCCAAATCTGTGTCACACCAATTAAGGCAACTTTATTCCTACTTATTACCACGAGTGCTACTGTTCTTTTTTAAATGTATGGTCAATAAACCGAATTTACACAAAATCAAACCTAATTTCTGAGTAAAAAAATTGACCAGAACATTTGAATAAAATCCAAAATGTAATGAAAGAGATCATGATTATTTTCTCGTGGAAAAACATAGTATACAATCAAACATGTTATTTTTCTGGCACTAACATAAAAACATTTTGGAGCGGGTCAAATATTACAGGAAGGTTGAATTGACCAGACTTCTTTCCGCAGATTGATATGACAGCACATAGAGCAGGGGTGTCAAACTCAAATACACAGAGGGCCAAAATAAAAAAGATAGGTGCGAGTCGAGGGCCGGACTGGTTCAATGTTTATTGCAAAACGTATTGAAATGAACTTATTGCACATATTAAACCTGGAACTAACAAAGCTTAAATTATTGCCTATAAAAACAAGATTAAATAATCAGTTGCATTCATTTCTTATGGCTCTAGCTGCAGCTTTTCCGGAGTCATTTCTTATGATTACATTTCTCCACAGGCCAACAACAGCTTCAAAAAAACTATTTCCCTCAAAGAACAAACCAAACATGCCCTGTTTGTCGTGAGAGAAAGGTGCAGAAGGAA